ATTTAAGGACGCCGGTCTCAAGGTTAAAAAAAATAAATGTCAACTGTGCACTGAAAGGGTAGAGTTTCTCGGATACCTCCTCGATAAACAAGGTATTCACCCTACCGAAAACAAACTGAGGGCAATCAAGAACGCCCCAAGACCTAAAAATAAGCTTTCCTGGGACTCATTAACGTTTACAACTTCTTCTTGTCCCAGAAGGTGACCGTAGCTGAGCCCCTACATAGACTTCTCGACAAGAAAGCCACCTGGGTCTGGGGACATCGAGAAGAACGCTCTTTTCAAAAAGTGAAAGACTTATTAACATCCGATGCTGTTCTAATGCAATACAACGAGACTTTGCCATTAAATATTACGTGTGACGCATCACCATTTGGGGTTGGAGCCATTTTGAATCACGTGTTACCAAACGGGCATGAAGCTCCCATTGCGTACTTTTCGCGGACATTATCAAAGGCTGAACGAAACTATAGCCAACTTGACAAAGAGGCTCTTGCTATTGTATCGGCCGTGAAGCGATTTCACGAATATGTTTACGGGCGGCCCTTTACTCTAGTTACAGACCACAAGCCTTTACTTGGCATTTTAGCAGGTGATAAAGCAACGCCGCATATATTGTCGCCTAGAATGACTCACTGGTCAGAATTCCTAGCAGCCTACAACTACGTACTGCAGCATCGCCCGGGGAAAGCCATTCCCCACGCTGACGCTTTGAGCATTCCCCACTTCCGGAAACCGTCAGCGACCCAGCTCCAACCCTCACTACGCTGCAAATTGAAACCCTCAACTCGCCGCCACTAACGGCAAGAGATATCGCTGCTGGCACAAAACGAGACTATATCCTCGCAAAAGTTCTCAGTTGGGTCGAACGCGGGTGGCCAGTCGAAGAAACCCCCGCCATTTTTGCACCGTTCAAACACCGGCAAACAGAACTATTTTCCCAGAAGGGCTGCATCCTATGGGGAGATAGAGTCGTTGTACCAGAGAGACTACAGCGACGCGTGTTGCAAACCCTGCACGAAGGACATCCGGGCATCGTCCACATGAAGGCTCTCGCTCGAAGCTACGCCTGGTGGCCAGGCATCGATAAACAAATTGAAGCCTGGGTGACCACGTGTAGAACTTGCCAAGAGGTCAGCAATGCCCCACCGAGAGCAATTCCCACCGAATGGGAAACTCCTCGAGGCCCGTGGTCCTGCATCCACATTGATTTCGTGGGACCCACTAAAGGACACACTTTTCTCCTAACCGTCGATGCTTACTCCAACTGGCTCGAAATCCACAAGATGAAAAACACGACTACTGACTCCGTTATTAAAAAACTAGATAGATTATTTGCAACACATGGTTTCCTGGACGTTCTAGTTTCCGACAACGGACCCCAGTTCACAGCCCTCACCTTCGAACAATACCTGGCGGACCGGGGCATCCGCCATGCCTTAACTTCACCGGCTCACCCTGCGGCAAACAGTAGGGCGGAACGGATGGTCCAATTCGTTAAAAAGACACTACAAAAAATGGATCCTGGGGACATCGACGCTAGATTGAACAAAATCCTCTTACTACAGCACATTACCCCCCACAGTGTCACCAACAAGACTCCAGCCGAACTTTTAATGGGGCGGACGCTTCGCTCCCACCTCGACCGATTACACCCGTCTTATTCGCCAGAGAAACCTTGTGGATCCAGCGGAACGTATCGCCAATTCAAGGTAGGCAACTTGGTCTATGCCAAAAACCTTTCCGGCGAACCGTTGTGGGTCCCAGCCACCGTAGTCTACCTCACTGGCCCCAGATCTTACCGCCTTAAAATGACAGACGGCAAGATATGGAAACGCCACATAGATCAACTTCGATCTCGTTTACAACCCAATATCCGCGACCCCCCGGAATTCCAAACTCAAGGGGGAGGGAATACCGAGAGGGATGAAGGCCGTATAGACGACGACATAATCGAGGACAGATGGCCGCTAAACCGAATACTCGCGCCACCTGAAGAAGGTCCGGGATCGGGGGCATCCTCCCCGCAGAGGAACCCCGTAGTGGAAACATGCCCGCCCGATCCAGGAGTGGACTTAAGGGACCCTGATAGTATCGAAAACAGCACCGCGGAATCAACCCCGTGCGTAGACGAGCCTTGCGTTCCACCAGAACCAAACATTAAACAAAAACCGGTGGAACAGCAAAAATCAAATAGGCAGGTAAAATGACCTGCATACCTGCGTGATTACGTCACCACGGCCGTCAAACAGAACCCAGGGGGGAGGGGTGTTGTGAACTAAAGAAATGTATTAATAAAGATTCATTTGCATAGCAGGATCATAATCCTGCACTTCCTATTGGCCCATATAATGGCAAGTTATGATTGGTTCATTCCGAGCAATCTGATTGGCTGTTGGCGGGCCGCACCAAGATTCAAACGCTATAACGTTATCCATTGGTTATCTGGATAGCAGCTTACTCTATAAAAGAGTGACTGCTAGCCGGGGGTTTTTGTCTCTGTTATGCTTGAAAATAAAGATCTGAAGTTCAAGGTTCACAGTCTGGTCTCCGTTCATTAAACCCATGCCTCAAACTTAACAAGTACCATGTTGGAAAAAATTGAATGAGTATAATGTTCAAACTTGGACCTCTACACACCAGAAATTTTATTTTTCCTCATACATATAGAAGCAAAATACCTTCGCTTTAATGGGGAAAAAAGCTAATAATGAATTGCTGATTTTTCTAATGTAGTAATTTTCAACCTTTTTAATATAAAAACCTAGGGATGTTCCAGCAACTAGCTTAAATGTTGTTCATTTGTTAGTTTTGATGAGAAACAACTCTCCTAAACATATTAAGAATAATCAAATTGAAATGACTTTGTTCCCAAATGCCATTTTTCTCCTTGATATGATCAGAGGAAGAATGGCACACTACTTTAGAGAACCCTTTAGTTTATATGAGCTGTTGATCATGTAATTATAATTAAAATTATATGAGCTGTTGATCCTCTTTAGCCTTACCACTGTTTGTTTGAAATATATGTTAATGGAAGTAATTGCCTATAGCTGCCCATATTCAATAAAGAGACATAAAATATACAGTATAGAATATTAATCATGTTTCTTTGAAAGTTGCAGGTGTCCTTATATTTTTCAGCTGGCAATTTGATATAGCTCCTTAAAGACAGGCTATTTCAACACTATATTTTTTCCATTTTTCCCCAATCCATTTGTCTAAATCTACTTGTCTAAAAGTAGTTAGACTCTTTTCATGTAGAGACTTCCAAAACAATCAAAGAAGAAGAAAGGCTGGATGGAGAAAAATTACTTTCTTTGACATGCTTAATGCCACCTGTGTATAATTAAATTGTTCTGCTTGTTAGACTAATATTTCATATTGAGAAAAATCTGTCAGTCTGCTATATACCACCCTCCCGATTAATAACAAGTATTAAAGATAAATGTAGAGGATACATTCAAAACAGAATTACACACACACACACACACACACACACACACACACACACACTTGGACAAAACAATTCATAGTGCTTAACTAGCTCAATGTAAGCTTTTAATTATCTTATGTATTAAAAATTATATGTACTTTGTGGTTTTACCATCATATCCTGTATAATTTTAAAATATTTTAAAATAAGTATGTTGTGTGCTTGGGGGGGGTCATATGTGATAAGGATCAATTACATCATTGTTCAAAATGTATAAACACATCTTAACCTTTAGTACAATGGACATCAGCAGCCCCTACCTTTTGAGTACCAAGGACTAGTTCCACTGAGGGAGTTTTTTCCACAGACCAGAAGAGGCATGGTTTTGTGTGCTGCCTGCATCCCACAGATGGGGCTTTGCTGGTTTACGTGGCCCAGTTGCTGGCATGCCGTGGCCCAGTGTCAGTTCATGTTCTGGGGGTTGGGGACCCTGCTGAACATGTTCTTAGTCAAAATAAATTTTATTATGGGTAAAGTACAGAATTTCCTAAAAGTGCAGGGATGGGGAGAAGACAGATTTTTGCAAGTAGATTCACTTTTCAGTATAAATAGGAATTGTTTAAAAGATTCTTTATCTAACCAGTTGGAGAAAAGTTGGTCAAATACAAAATTATCAAATTCAGACTTCCCAAATAAATTGGAGGCAGAAAGTGAGTTTTGGGTCTCATCAAAGTGATTGAGGCAAATTATTCATAATTAATCTTTATCTCATTGATTTTAGCATGAGCTGAAATAAAGTCTATAACACATACTTAAAGCCTTCCATTATGATTAATACCAAATTTTAAAAACATTGAGTTTTAAAAATGTACAGAAAAGAAATTAGACCCGTTTTTCCCCAAAAAAATTAAAATCAAACTGCAGTATTTTTAGTTTTCAGTGTCTTCTGGCATGGTACATACATCTTTAAGAATAGTAATAGTAACTGATGAGTCATTAACCTATGAATCACATTTAAAAAGTAGTCATAGAACCGTACTTCTAGTTTGAATCCAGTTTAATATTGTATCCAGAGGTTTGACCCTCTCTTCCTTCCATTCCTTTCCTCAAAGCTAATTTATTGATCTGTAAATCAACAATATAATTTTAAGCAGAAAGTTGTCAAGGTTTTTCTGATAGCTAACTTTTTCATCTATGCACAAATGACTGAATAAATATCCATTTATTTTTCTTTCTCAGGAATATCCCATGACATATTAACCATCCATTTTCCATGTTAATAGCTCCACAAAAATTGAGAAGGGTTGTTTCTTCTCCCAGGTTTGTAAATATTGACTTCCCAAGGTTCTGCTAATTTCTAATCTGTAGAAAATCGAGTGCTACCAGAAATATTCTGCTAGTGATGAAATGCTATAATAAAACAAAAAAGTTTGCATAGTAAAATGTAATGTTCTCTGTGTTGGTTACAATGACCACTACTCTTCAAGTTCCAGGTGTTCTGGGAAGGAAACTTAGCCTTTTTAATATAATATAGCAAACAGTTTTCTATTCCTTTACTCACTAGGTAACAGAAACCCGGACTGGTCCCCTTGGCTGCAGTAACTATGACAACCTAGATTCTGTCAGTTCTGTTTTGGTACAGAGTCCAGAAAATAAGATTCAGTTGCAAGGTACGTGGGTAGAATTTTGTTAACTTCTTACAGGAAGATGTTTATAGGACAACTTACAGTATACCTGAAGAGTACATGTGAAGAATCATTTCAAATGTTCAATTTCCCTAAGATTTTAGCAGGTATATACTGTAGAAATCAAGATTCTGTTCAAATATGGGGAAAAAAATCAGGTTCAAAAATTTGTTGTGGCCATGTTCTTTATTTTAATATATAGTTTGGATACTATCTGCTAGTACTCCAATTCATATATAAAATTATTCTAAACATTCAGGGTGTTGGATATGAACAGCATGGTGGCCTAGTGGTAAAGACGCTTGCCTTCCACTCAGAAGGTTGAGAGTTCAATCCTAAGCAGCGGCAAATGTTTCTCTTGCCTACGGCGCAAAGAAAAAAAATATCTGCTGCAAATTCCATGTGTGGTCTAATTCTAACCCTTCCTGGGCATCTCCATTCAGTCAGGGTGACTCTATCCCAAATTAAGAGATTACAGGATCATAATGGAGTTCCAACACATTGAGCTAGACTATTTCTTTGTTATATATAAGATATATATGTTATATATTTAAAATTGTTAAAATTTCTTGAAAAGCAAGGTGTTGCTCAATCTGACTAAACATTCTAACTATGCATCACAAAGAAAAATACCACTGGCCATTGAATGGTTTTCATATCTATATTCAAGGACAATGCTAGTGTTGCTAATTCAGCAATATGTAGTCCTGCAATGGAAGTCACTGCTAGAAATTTCATCAAGCTAATACAGTATATAATTAGAAGAAAAAAATTATCCAGCACATTACAATAAAAATTGGGCTGGGGAATCATTGTTTGTCTCTCATTTTTAATACATTTTTGCTTGTCTGGTGCTTAGGGAACCAATGATGATATTAAAAATCCAGAGACTTTGTGTTAATCTTATTAACATTCTTTGAGTTTCCTTCGGGGGTTTTATAGAAATTTGGCAGTAGAATTGTCTCCAACTTCAAGGCAAATACAGGAAAGTGTTTCAAGGGAAATTAAAGGTTTCCAATAAGAGTAGAGAAAAACAATATTCCTCAGATTGTCAGTGAATTCCACCTAAATATATATTTGAGAAGAGAAAATGGGGATGATTAGAATTCTGATAAATGAGAATAGCATTAACAATGTATCTTAGAAAAAGATTAATTGATACAATGATATACATCAACATGGTTAAGAAAATCTATTAAGACTATTCATGGTCAGAACAGAGATGGTTTTTTGTTGTTATTTTTATTTAGTGTGTACAAAAGATGTCAGAACCACTCCTAGTTACTACCATTTGAGGTCTGTTTAATATTTTTCATAAAACATGGAATAATGTTATGCTTTCTCCAGAATGCAGCAATATGCATAGGCCTCTAATAGAGAGGGTGGGCTGCTAGTTGAACTTTTAGTGGGTTCCAAACATGGTTTATCTGAAATTTATTTTCCAGCTCTTGGGATAGACAGTGGGAATTATCTTTTGTTGGAATTGATGGATAAAGCACAAAATTTTCCCCTTTCTTCTCATGTAATAGGACAGCCAATCTTGAATATCCCACTGTACACCTGATATTATAGGGTATACCACATTACATTATGATCGATGATCCTGTCATTTTCTTTGGGACTCATATCTCCATATGTTTATTGAAGTTACTTGCTGTTTAGATGCTGTTTTCATTATGTGTGACATATTTATCAGTAAAATGCTTAGAAAATGATAATATCAATCATTGACTTGTTTTGTTACATATCATTGGACTGTAATTCTAATGTCAAAATGGTCACATATACCAGAGTTTTTTTAAAAAAAATCATATCATAGTCATCATTACCTTGATGAACAAAAAGTTTAACATATGGCAAAGTTTTTTTTCATATTTTTTTCCTGCAATACCTTTAAATAGACATATACAGAGAGAGAGAGAGAGAGAGAGAGAGAGAGAGAGAGAGAGAGATGTAACATAAAACACTAGGAAAATGTTTTCAGTTTTATTATATTGTATTTCTAAAATATTTTATTGTACTGTGTAATATTGCATATTTATTATATATCTTTCAGCAAGGCATCTTAATCCAAAATCCATGCATTAATTTGTATGATCTTTGGTCAAGATAAACTACAAACATTTGTAAAATATGTCAAAAAAAGAAGAATGTAATAAGCATGTAAAAAAATGGTTGGTTTTTCATGTGACCCCTCAATCCACTGAAAATAAGTAGACCGGCTTGTTCCAGTCTAAAATAAGTTTAAACACTTCACTATGACCAATTCTTATGTAATTTACATTGGATTTAGTCAAATAGTGTCCAACCACTCCTTCTTGTTCTTTGGCCTGGAACCTGAGAGGTATAGATGAGAAAAACCATATACAATTATTTTTACCCCCTCAGCTACATTGCATTATTTTAATTAGAAATAATGGTTTTGAAGGAGTTAAAAGAATTAGAATATGATCCTGTTTGGGGGCCAAAATATATTGATGTATTAGCTCTCCAAAGACCAACAAAACTACATTCAGACAACAAATAATGGATTCTGTATTCAGAACCCATTAAGTGTGACAAGATTCTTAAATATCCATTTTTCAAATCAGCAAAGTGCTTCTAGTTTTTTGTTATTCTGGCAGTCATGACTGCTGTCTCTTTGGATGGGGTAGTCTTCAATAAAGCATAGTACCCATGTCCAAGTGGATGGATTCATTGACCAAGTTATCATTCAACAATTGAACTTCCTTTGCCTGATTTCCATGTAATACTTGCACAGAGTAGGTAGGGATGGAAAATCCTCTATGATAAAACCAAAACTGTGTGAATAACCTCAATATTCAGAGAAATATAAAAATAGGACAGAAATCCTAAGGCCATGTTTGCCAGACTTTCCTTTTCAATTGAAATATGTAGAGAAGACAAAATATGTGATGCAATCCATAAGCAATGTTTTTTATATGATAACCCTGAATTTAGGATAATGTCAAAGTGTATTATTATGCCAAGGGCTATTCTGGCTCTATTTTGAAATTGTCTGGGGTAAGCTACATTTCTTAATCCTTATGAATTTATTAAATTTTTTGTACCCCTCCTTTATTTCTTGGTAAGTAACTCAAGGTGGTGAGATACCTAATGCTCCTTCCTCATCCAATTTTCTGCACTAATCAAGTGGATGGATTGAAGGAGAATGACTGGCCCAATGTCATCCAGTTGGCTTTTGTGTATGTGTATGTTGCCTTGAGTTATTTATAAAAATGATAAAGGTGGGATATAAATAATTAAATCCCTGGCACAGGCTATAAACCTGGCAATTAGTTTGATGCCTTCTCATAATGTTCCAAAATGTTTATTAACTGCATTGATCCATTTTGCTGCGAGCACCTACATGGCAAGGCCGGGGGGGGGGGGGCATTTCTCATAGCCAAAGCAATATCAAAAATATATTTCCTTTTTTTAAAGTCTTCATGAAAGAAAAGTTCTGTAGTGAGTCTTTTATAAAATTGCATAGATAAGTGAAACATATATGGCTACAACACTTCACCAAAAATGATTTGATCATTCTTTTCCTTAGTTTAATCTTGGGATTAAGGATGCTCCTTTACACAGGCATCAAATCATTTTTGTGGGAAGAGATTCCTTGGGTTACTCCCATGCCACTGAGAAGTAGGTTGTATAGGTTGTATAGGTTTTGATATTTATTAATTATTATTGTTCTATAAACTCCCCATCATCATTGTATTATTGTGAGGAAACATCTTCCTTGCTGTGGATCAGAAATGATTTTCAACAAACTTGATCAAAAGATACATTTGAAATAACAAGAGGAATATGAATAAAAGAGCATCATTCCTGAACAAAATGATTGTGCAGATTTTTTTTAAAAGTAACTTTATCAATAATATAAACATGGGTGGAATTCACACTTCAAGTACAATGATTTGAGGTGATCCTTGCATTATTGTCAGTAATCTGTAAAATAAAGCTATTCGAGGAGGTTTTGTCTTGGTATATAGGTTTAATGTTGTTTAAAAGAATCCCTAAAGTGTTTAAAAGTAGAGAATAAAAACATTATGATGTTTTTCTTCCTAGTAAACCCATTTTTCAACAGATTCACTAAAAACCAGTTGCCAGGTTCCCCTCTAGGAATCAATTGCAAAAATGTTTCTCTTCCCCAGTAGGCTTTGACTTTGCCACAAGTCATAAAAAATGATATACACTAGTTCTTTGATTGCCTTTAAAACTGTGACCTAACATCTTCTATGGACATAATGATTGTAGATAGAATTAAATCTAAAGAATTGGTTAAGCTCTGAGGAAACTATCTCATTTATTAAGATAAATTGTTTCTTCTTCTCCTTCTCTTCCTCCTCCATTAAGGTCTTCAGTTTATCCTGCCCGAATATTTGCAAGAGAGGTTTGTGCAGGCAGCTCTGAGCTACATTGCATGCAATTCAGAGGGAGAATTTATCTGCAAGGACAACGATTGTTGGTGTCAGTGTGGGTCCAAATTCCCAGAATGCAACTGTCCATATATGGATATTCAAGCTATGGAAGAGAGCCTGCTACGCATCAGTGAGACATGGAATACTTACAATAGTGATTTCGAAGATTCAGGTGTGATGTTTTCACATAGTATATCGTTTTCCTCATTGTCCTGTGATTCTATAATGACGTCATCATTACTCTGTGACCAGAAATGATGTATTGAATGTATATCATTACTGGTTAAGAATAAGGATGCAACAAATCTCAGTTGAGTGTGTGTGTAAGAACTTTATTTATTTGGTTCCATTTTTGAGGAGATTCTTGGCTAACCAAATCTGCCTTGATTTGATGTGTGGGCTGTCATACTATTTTGCTAGGAATTTCCATGGATTCTACTATAATGGAGAGGGGTGCTCAGCAAAGTCCATTAGCTTCACTCATTCTGTCATTAAAATGTTTATAAGAGGTGGAAATAAGTAAATAATTTTGAAAGTGGTCAGGAGAACAAGACTAAGCCAAGGCTCAGGGGAATAGTGAAATCCAAGGCTCAGGGGAATAGTGAAAGAATTACACAAAGTCTATAGAAGTATTACACTACTCCTTAAATTTCTATGGGAGCAGATTTAGGAGATTCAACTGCAATGCATTGCAACACAAACCCTAAACAAACTTCCACAAGTGTCTATTTTTCAAAGCAAGAATCATAACACATAAAAAAAATCCCAAGTGTGAATTGAATGGACCTTCTGCTACCTTGAGCAAAGTTGCATTCTTGGGTAAAAGCAATGCTAGTAAATTGAGGAATGACCAGTGAAAGAAACAATGACTGTGCAGTAGAAATAAAGAAAGTTAGCAGAAAGTTTTGAGAAGCTATCTATAAAAGTTCTGTGCATTAGGGAATGTGTATGTGTTTGTGCGTACGTGTGTTCATATTCCTAACTGATTTAAAAATAATCTACTGAACAAGTAATTTACTGATCAATATGTCCATAATTCCTGCAATAATGATGGGTTTTGTATCAAATGGTCAGCTAGAAGTTTGCTGGAAACTCCAATCCATGCCATTTCCAATTTATGACCTTCATCACATATTTTTACCAAAATGCCACTTTTGTGTTGATGACCCTTTTACTTATAAAAAGAAAAGTGTCTCCACTATTAGAATCCTATCAGAATGTAGTAAAGATAGAACACCTTGCAGAAATGCAGTCTGATGTCAGCAAAGATCCACATGAGGATTTAACTGGCTTCAGTCATCACTTATGACTGACTCACCCACACCAGTTATCTCCTGAAGAAGGTCTCTAACCTGCTATTGCCATTTTGCCCTTTTCAGACTAGTATCTTGAGGGGAGCAAACCTTTAAATATCATGAAAGCTTAATTGTATTTGACTATTGTGACCTTTATGATTATGAGATATATTTTAAAATCAAGCTTAACATAGCCTGTTTATACTCTCATCAAGAATTTAAAGGGAAGTTGGCAAAACAAGAGAGATTTTGCTAGGTCAATTACACTAAGAAGATCTGCATTTTGTGATTTGTTGTATATGAGGGTTTCTAAAAAAATGTGTAAGAAAAGTTCTAAAATATTTAGAATAGGAAGATTAAGTGATCTTCAGGAGATATCTCTTGCATAAATGAGAGGAATTTAAATCAGCCTTTTTCATACCAACCAGATGAAAGAGATTACAATTCCATCATCCCCAATCAATAACCCAATGACCACCTTATTTGGAAATATGAGAATTGTAACTGAACATAGGTGAATGATTCCTAATTTGGTAAATCTGATCTACGTATCTGTTTTGGAGACATAGATTCTGAAATTATGTGAAATTTTATGTTCTCTATTTTTCTTAGATGTGATATGTGACAGCTACATCAGATTTCTGATATATGAAATAAAAATACAGCTTAAAATAATTGGTAAAGATCAGGGCCACTGTGGAAAACTATGTATGATGCTGGAACTCTATTGATTTTCCATGTGATTTACTTTGCTTTAATTTAGTATCAGTTCCTAGGGATGGATGGATGGATGGATCTCTCTGTAAGGAAAATTTAAGTCATGGTTATGATTTGAGCAATAACACCAAAGGTCATCACTTGGAAGGTGTAGTTTTCAAAAATAGCACTCATATGGGTGTTACTGCACCACAAGATCTTCCTCACATATTCCACCAGACTGCTTAGATTGCATAATTTTGCTTGAATTGGTGCTGTTATTATACTTTGAAAGTGGTTTGAGAGAGTGACAGATAATAAGCATGAACCACATGTTCATTTGAGCATAAGATTGAAAACGTAATAAAGCCTTGGTTTCTTGAATTGTGCTCTAAGGAAAAAAAATAAAATTCCCTTCCTCCTCTCCTTCCTTCCTTCCTTCCTCCCTTGATGTCACACATGGGCAGAGCAAAATCATAGACAAATATGTTAAAAGAAAAAAGAGGAGGGGCAACAATTAAATTTTTTCTTTCCTTTTGTTTTCCTTGTCATCTAATCCATTACCAAGGGGGAAAAAAATATTGACTGCCCTTCCCAGAGGTTTGAACTGCTTGCTTGCTGAAGGTTTTTGAAGTTAAACTAAAAGGTAAAAAAAATATAGCTAAGATTTGTAATATTAACTACAGGTAGAAAGAAATTTCAAATGCATATGAAATGTGATGCATTTGAACTTCTAAAGGAAAGAGAGGAAAAAAGGAATAGTTTGTACATTGGAAACATAAACTATTTCTTCAAACATTGATCACTCATACCCATATGCATAATAAAAATGGAAATCAACAACCAACTCTGAAAAAGCCAGATAATAAATTTCAAATTAGTTTGGCCTTCTTTCTCCCATTCTCACCAGGAACTCATTTTCTAGTATAATTAAATCCCTGTCTTCCCTATTCCTTTGAAAAATGCAAATTATTCTTTCCCACTTCAGTGAACTGAAATCAGAGCTCTTTTAGAATGTTTGCACAGACTCATCTGCTTGCTTCTTTTTGTTATCTTCTATGTACAGCCATATCTTGTAGCATTCAAATTTAGTAACTTCCCTTGCAAAATTACAGCTGTTTGATCAAAAATCCACACCGATGCTGCTCACCCTAAATTAGCATGCTTCATTAGCATCTCAAGGATTCTGGATGAATTAAAGCTCTTAATTTGCTAGAAAAGAATTAATAATAAAAAAGAACAATAGAGTCTGGGGTGGAAATAAGCCATTTCATCCAAATGCTACTTGATAAAAACACTGTGAGGTATTTGAAAACTGTCACATTTAATATCCTTTCTCTGTACATCTAAGTTTTATAGATTTTATAGTAGACATATTAGAGTATTTTTTTCAGTGCCACTGCTTAGGTAGACAAACAGCAGCCCCTATGCAAGACAGAAATGTCAGCAAATTTGAGGAAGCCATGAGCTTTTTTTTTAAAAAAAATTAAAGTTATCCTTGAAGATCTCTCTGCAAAATAAAATAAAAACAATCTTCTTAGAATGAAGCATCACAGTGGGAATGGAATGCTAAAGGCAATGGAAGTTAGCAAGGGGTAATAGCATCGAGTGATTGGAATTCTCAATAAGAAATCCCCACTTTCACATTGTTACAATGCTCACATTTTAAATACACTTCTTCGTTTTCATTTCTGAAGAGAAGTTGCAGCACAATTTTTGAGATAGGATTAACTGTAGGTTGCTATCATGGGCATCCTGTAGACAGCGCAGAAGTGGTATTCAGCAGGTTCTGACCAGTTCTGGAGAACCGGTAGCGGAAATTTTGAGTAGTTCGAAGAACCAGCAAATACCACCTCTGTCTGGAGATTTTACAGTATCCTTCCCCTGCCAAGCCCACCAAGCCACGCCCACAGAACCGGTAATAAAAAAAAATGAATCCCACCACTGAGACAATGGCCAAGGCTCCGAACTGGTCCTATATCTCCTTAATACTACTAGTATCTACTCTACTAGTACCCTACTAGTATCAAATGATACTCTTCAGTGAGAGATCCTAAGGCAGAGGTCTCCAAACCTGGCAACTTTAAGACTTGTGGACTTCAACTCCAGCATAGTGGCTGGGAGTTGAAGTCCGCAAATCTTAAAGTTGCCGAGTTTGGGGACCCCTTTCCTAAGGTATGAAATGTGGCAACAGGCAAAAAACAACAAAACACACACTGATCTCTTACATTTATTTAGTTGGGTCTAAGAAATACATTATATCAATACCTGTAGCAGAAATGTTACAGCATCAGGAAAGGTACTACATTTTTGAAGGATTCAACAAGCAGCTCTGGAAAAGTTATAGGGATGCTTCTATTTGAAAAAGATATGCTAATCAACTTAAACAGCAGGACATTTCTCTCTATGTGGAGAATTTCTTCTTTTTTAACTGCTAAATGAAGAAAACATGGTATCTTCATTTTCATAGTATTTCCATTTTTACCATTTTTCTTTAAAGTCATGTATATGTTAATATATTTCATTATTTTTGCCAGGGATGTAGTGGTATAGTTAGCAGTTTGAAAGCACACCAACTTTAAGTAGATAAATAGGTACCACCATTTTGGTGGTGGGAAATGTTAGTTGCATTCTGCATGGGTAGCAGGAGCCAGCACTGAATCTGCCTGGACACAATCTGCAGAAGACCGACAGAGGAAAGCCTCAAATGATCTAAATTTCTCGAGAGCATTGCTGGCCACCTAGTGTGGTGGAAGTTCATTCTCTGGTAGAACACCAGGACAAGAAAAGGACTAATGATTGTCAGCTGCCAGAATTTCTATTTTGTATAAACATTGTCTATGTAGATTCTCAGACACTGAGGTCACAGTTTTCCCAAAGGTGCTTTTTCAAGAGGCAACTGGGCTTTCTTATTTTTCTTAGAAGAAGCTCCACACCCACTTATACTACTCAGATGATGCTGAGGACACAGACAAACCTTCAAGTGGCCTCAATGACTCTAAAAGAATGCAAATTACTGTCTGCAAAGAATATAAATCTTTCCATGCCCCACCATTCAGTCAGACCTGAAGAAGCTTCTTGGATGAGAAGCAATAGCACTTATATATCATTTCACAGTGCTTTTATCTGCAAATGTGACTTTCATTCAGATTAATATAAGTTCTTCTAAAACTTAGTACCA